TCTTAATACATGTATGTGGGTAGTGTGGATGTAGAACATTTCCCTTGCTTCACAAAGTCTCACTGGACATCAGTGGCATGGCTCTTCCCAGTTATTAACTTTGTTTTTCCTGTTGCCAAATGCAAGATTCTCCCCTGTGCCATAGGTTGAGTAATTTCCAGTGGTTCAGTTGCTCCAAACTTTTCTGTAACTCTCATTTCTGCTGTTATTTTCCGTGTACTTCTTTAATGTGGAGGAGAAATTTTTACCCTTTCCTTTTCCACTGAGGCTTGCCTGCCCTTTAAGGATATGCAAGCCTTTGGGTAATCATTCACAATGCTTATTCTGGATTTACAACCATTCTTGCAGTAAGGCAAAAATAGTGCCTTAAGGATTAAAAGAAAGGATATTTGAATGATAGCCTCTGTGTTTTGATTTATAAGCATTTGTGTCCACCAGTGGTGGCCTGAGGACTAAAATTTAATTTGTTAGAGTATTTGTTTTAAATTTGATGTCCTTCTTTCTGAATAATACCATCTGAGAAAGCACTGAGAAAGGTACATAAGAGAAAAATGTCCAAGTTTTTTTCTTCTTTGGATACCTCAGTGTTTACCTCATGATATGACCAAACTTTTCTCTCTATAGATCAGTTGGAATCTATATAAGAGATACTCTGATTATATTTTTACAGTTTTGTTGAGGGAATAAGACTTTCTTAAGTGAAGACGTACAGAAATAATTTTTCATTCTGTGTGATTATAGGGCTGCCTTAACGGAGGAAACCCTTCTTATACAAATTGTGTGTGAAGATGTGCGCTAAGAAGTGGCTAGTCCAGTATGACTTGCCACAAACATACAGTTGGTAATTCCACCTCAACCTTTTAGCTAGCTGCGGGGGCACGTGCTTGTCATAGCACTCTGGAGTGCTGAGGCAGGAGGATAGCAAATTCTAGTGCAGCCTAGGCAACTTAGCAACTGAACAAGAACTTCCCTCAAAATAAAACTATTGTAATTGGAAAAGGCAGAGGATGTGGCTCAGTGTGAAAGCCCTGGGTTCAATCCCCATTACCACAAAACAAGCAAACCCTCCTCTTGTGAACTGAGCACCTAAATTGTAGAAAATGTGTATGTACCAGAAAGAAAATGTCTTTTTTTTGTTTGTTTGTTTGTTTGTTTTCCGGTACCGGGAATCGAACTCATGACCTCGCGCTTGCCAGGCAGGTGCTGTGCCACTGAGCTAAATCCCCAGCCCCAGAAAATGTCTTTATAATGAGTGGCAGTTAAGCATTGTTTCATTTCGGTAATTGCCACATCCTTCATCATCAGCACTCCACAACATTAGACGTTCTTAATGAAGCCTAAAGTCTTACCCTATATTAAGTCACTCTTGTAACTCCTATCACCCATGACTTGGGGCCCAGCACTAGACCCAGCAGTCAGGACTCGATATCCAATAATGGTCAATAATCAAGGCATTGTGACCGAGATAATTCTTTACTTCAGTCATCTCCCAAAAGTGGAACATCTCTGGGAATAGATTATCATCTGTATCAGCTCTGATTCCACTCACATCTGGCTTTCCTTCCCTCCCCCTGTGCTCTCTAGTATGGCTACACTTGCATAATCCTTCTTATGCAAATTGGTTTTTCGGGGGGGGGGGGGGAGGGATGATGGTTTATGGTATCTTCTTAGAAGAAACATACCTATCACAAGAGTTCTTTTTTTACAGCCTTTTGTATACATCTCAGTGTTGTCTACAAGTGCTGCTTTCTGGAAGCCTTTTTCCTGGATTTACTTTGCTAGATAGACTTGACTTAAAATACGTACTTCTCTGAAGGTTCTTTTGTGTGAGTTTACTTTTCTTCTTACTGAATGATTTCTATATGCATGTGTGGAGGTTCCTAATTAAAAGTATATGAGTGGATGTGTGCAGGTTGTGTGCAAATGCTATACTTTTTTTTTATTTTAAAGAGTAAAAGAAGGATAACATAGTAATAGGGGAGCTTACTGAATTACAGGCAGAGTGGCAGGAAATTATCAATGGTTGTTGTTTTACATATTGTTATCTTCAAGCTAGTTTCTGAGGAAAACAAACAGAGAAATAATAGTGAGCTACAGACAAAAGTGGTAGGTTATTATCAATGGTTGTTGTACTATACTTTGGTATCTTCAAAGTGGTTTCTAGAGAAAATAAATAGAGCTATACATGAGTGACCAGTTGAATATTCATTGGCTATTCTCAATGGTTGTTGTAGGAAACACATGGTAATAGACATACATCCATTTACGAAACAACATAGGAATAATACAAACATTACAGAGTTACGGACAGATTAGTAGGAAAATATCAGTGGCTGCTCTAACGCATGGTGGTATCTTCAAAGTGGATTGCTATACTGTTTTTATAAGAGATTTGAACATCCATCGTCTGAGTTTGCCAGGGGAAGAGGGTATGAGATGTATTGTGGTACCAATACCACATAGATGCTGAGGGTCATTTGTATGTAGTGTTAAACTTGTGTAAGAGAAAGCAGTGATTTGTATCAATAAAAATCTAAGAAGAAAACATTTGAACTATGAGGAGAAAATAAAAATGAGATGCAAAATGTAAGTAGTTACACAAGACTAAATATTAAGAAATTCCAGAAAAAATAAAAAGCAAGTAAAATCATTTCGGTGTCCTATGAAATGTCAAAGTAAATTGAACTTGTATATGAAGTACTCTATCTTTATGCAATTTTCTCTTTGATGTCTATTTGTTGGTGCCCATGCAGAAAGAGATTATCATGGGAATGAGTTGCTTGCTCTGTTGGTCAGAGAAATAAAAACACCATTAAAATAGCACATGCTGCAATATGTTATGCTCTTATAATTCTGTTATGACAGACTGTTTGCATAACACTCCGTGACAGGAGATGGAGTTGGCAGGAGCATGGCCATCTACTCTTAAATAAAAACACAAATATTTTGCATAGCAGGGCAGTACAAACGACTGAAGCTGAGCGTTTACCCTTTGTATTATTCAGCCCTTCATTTTATTTAAAGATTTTCTGATTGTTAACATGGGTGTTATGAGGAGAGCACAGCATTAGATACAGATATACCTCCAGAACCATTATTGTTATCACAATCTTGGAGGCTTTTGGTATGTCAGAATGTTACTGTTCTTAAATGCACACATTTAGAATATTTACATTCTTGCCTATGTTTGCATTTGCATATGTGTACCTGGAGTATGTAGTATTCTCTACGTACAAGATCATGTCATCTAAAAACATACACAATTTAATTTTTTGCTTTCTGATTTAGATTCTTTTTATATATATATTTTTGCCTCATTGTTCTGCCCCAGAACAAGCACAAAGTACTATTTGGAGAAGAAATGATAAATTTTAAGGGCTGGGATTTAGCTCAGCAGCAGAGTGCCTGCCTGGCAAGTGCAAGGTCGTGAGTTCAATTCCAGGTACTGGAAAAAAAAGACAAAACCCAAGAAAAGGACCGAAGAAATGATAAATTTTAAAACCCTAAGGAAGCCACACATACACATACACAAACACACACACACACACACACACACACCGATACACACATATAAACCATTAGAAATGTAGAATAAAATCAGTAAAATTGGAGGATAGAAAACCAACATTTAAAAATCAGTTGCATTTCTGTTTATTAACAAAGGACAATCTAAAGTGATGTTAAAAATAATCCAATTTATACTAAAAGAATAAAATCCTTGGGAATAACCTTAACCAAGAAAATGAAATACTTACATGCTGAAAACTGTGAAACATTGATGAAAAAAACTAAGTGGGAAAACATCCTGTGACCATGAGAATACTGGGAAAGTGCATTCCCAAGTTACTGTGAATTGCTTTAATTCTCACCAGTAATGTATATTTGTTTCAGGTGTTCATATCTTTACCAGCATTTAGTACTATTGTGTTTAAGCAACTGTGATAGGAGTGAAATGGTTCTTTTCATTTCAGTTTTCATTTTCCTAGAATGTAATGGTGTTAAGTATTTTTGCATGTGCTAGTGTCTCATTATGTAGACATCTTTTATGAAGTATCTTTTTGAATCTTTTATCCATAGTTTTATTTGCTCATTCTTTTTTTATTTATTGATTTTTTTTGTTTTGTTTTGTTTTGTTTTTGTTTTTCTCTGGTACCGGGAACTGAACTCACGACCTTGCACTTGCCAGGCAGGCGCTTTTGCCGCTGAGCTAAATCCCCATCCCCTTTTTATTTATTGATTGCTGCGTCTTTATCATTCTTCACACAGGTTGGATTTTTCGTTAGAAAAGATTTTGGCTTATATTTTGTTTTTTAAAGTGGTGTTAACAGAACAGATGTTTTTAACTGTATAATGTATGAGTTAATCATTTTTCTATGGATGATTCTTTTAGTTTTGCATTCAAGAAATCTTTGCTGGGGGTTGGTGGTGCAGCTCAGTGGTATAATGTGTGATGGGTTTGTATGTGTTTCTGGGTTCACTGTTTAGTACCGCCACCCCCCTGCCAAAAGAAGAAAATCTTTGCCTAACCTCCTAACTGAGGATCACAAATATATTTCTCACACTTTTTCTATCTAATGTTTTATAGTTCTACGTTTTATATTTAGACAGTCATTCACTTTTTGCTTTGTTTTGTTTGTTACAAGGTCACACTATGTAGTTCAGGCTGGCTTTGAACTCACTGTGTAACCCCGGCTGGCCTCAAACTTGTGGCAAACCTCCTGCCTCAGCCTCCTAATTATTGGATTATAAGCATGCACCACCACAACTGCATTGTGGGTTCATTTCATAAGAGTAGAATTATTCACAAAATGTCTGTGCTTTTTATTTTTTAGAATTGCATTTGAATTCATTATAAATAAATTTTTTAAAAATGTAATTTCAATGTGACAAGTAATTTTATATTGAAAACTTCGTAAATTGTTGTGTTACTAATTCAATAGTACCACCTTTTCTCAAAGCAAAAATAAAATCTCAAATACAACCTATGTTTTGTCTCTCAGGTGCGAGCATATGAATTCAACATTGAAGTTCATATTAATTCCTTCAGGTCATCAGAACTCTACAATGAGTATTTAGCAATGGAAAAGCCTTTGATGCCAAAGACGATTCCGCTTATGCAACCTTGTTTTGTTCAAGCTACTGGTATATCATATGCAATAGGCATTTCCATCTTAAGAAAATAAGAATATGACTTTTATTTTTCAGGATTAGAAATCTTAGACCGTGAAATTTTAATGTTTTCTTTGTCACTTAAATTGTGGGTCTATGAGATTGAATGTTGATTAATAGAGCAGATATATTTGCAGAGCAAAATATGAAAGAATAATATCAGGTCAATTTAGCACTTTATTGCGTGGGGAGTTTTAAAATTATTATGACAAAACATAATTAATAAAATAAAACAAGTGAAAAATAAAATGCATCAGTGGTAAGTTTTACAAAGTATTTTTGTTCAATAGGGATGGTTACTAAAGTCCTAAGTACGTATAAAGAAGATTAACTATATTTAAAATTCCAGGCATTTACGGAATATTTACTTGCTTTCTCCATATATTCAGTAAAAAGCTGACATGTTCTGTAAACCATACTTTCAACAAGATTGCTTTTCTTTTTTGTCATATATGCTTCATTATTTTTCCTTGAAAATCAAGACCATGTTTTATATTTGTAGTTCTGATACTAAATTTTCATTAATTATAAAATAGTGATGATTGTCATATCACTTAGTAATTGTGTTTGACAACTAGTATGAGAAGTCTTCCTTAAAACAGCATGAAGTTATAGAACTTTATTTCACTCTCATTTAAAATCCTGAATTAAGAATTGCATAGCTTGTATGTAGGGTCCATGAAGTACTTTTTTGTTTTATTTTAAGATATATTTAGATATACCTGTGTTCTCAGTGTTGTGGGAGGCTGAGGTAGGAACTTTCCAATGTCAAGCTCAGCCCGAGCAACTCAAGACCTTTCCTCAGAATTAAAAAAAAAAAAAAAGAGTTGTTGATGGATCTTGTTGTCCCCCCACAACGTAAAGAGAAATAATTGCAATCTGATTTTGTTATTGGAAGAATTCATTTTTATTCATTTTATAATGAAATCTAACTATGATGAAATTTTATGATGAAATCTAACGATCTTTCCATCTGTGAGTTCTAGCATTGTTTTTAAAAAGAGAATGTCTTCCCTTTCTGGAATTTTAATTACTGTAAAATTCTAGTTTAGTCCTGTTTTTAAAGTTTTTCGGTTTTAAACATGTAAGAGTTCTTAATAGTGTTTTGAATATTCCTTTACTTTATGACCTTTTGCTCTTGTGAAAACAATACCTTCTCTAATTATAATTGATTTTTTGACATTCTCTTCTGTTGACTATGCTGTTTCTATTTTGTCTGAATTACTGTTCTTTTATAGCTCTATGTGATGTAGAGCCGCTCCTTCAGTGTCTCTTGTCCCTTGTCTGTTCACTCATGTTTATTAGTGACTCTCAAAATCTAGGTTCAGTATCAAACATTATATTATCTTCTGGCAATCAGGATATCCATGAATATTTCAGATTGGAGTAATCTGAAATACTAGTTGGGAGGGAAGTCTTGAGTTTCTTGTTGCTCAGTTCCTACATAAAATGATCTCTAATATTCTGTTAAGAGAATAACTTTTCTTTGTTTAAAGAAATAAAGTTTCCAAAATGGTGAAGTGATATTCCAAAAACAGTGTTGTAATTTTAAAGACATACCCAGTGCGCTGTCATTTTCTGCTTATCTCCTATTGCTAATTTCCAAATATGAAGGACATATTACACGTCCTACTGTCTGTAGCATCTTCTTTTCCAGGCTTTCTTATGAAAGGTTTTGGGTGTAACATAGGATGAACATTATAAGTTTCTCCTGTCCCAGAGATCCTAACCTCATGTCAAAGTGACCATTAATTGCAGTCGTATAATAACAGCTTATGTAAAATACACATATTTTTAGAATCATAAATTGATATGGCTCAAATATACTCAGTTTCATTTCCACTAAAAATTCTGATGTCTCAGAAATGTTTCAAAAAATTCGTGTGTGTCTGGAAAGTACTGATAACCTCATTAATAGATTAAGTATTTTTACAGATATACCTATTCCTTCATTTCCATTGAATTTCCATTTTCTCAAAAACGTCCTTGTTTCATCTAGGAAATATACATAGTTTCTCAGCTTTGCAATAATTTTTCCTTCTTTATTTCTGTTTTTGCATTGCTTCAACTTTAAAATGCAAGTTAAATTTAAATGCTTTTATTTTATCATAGCTTGATATTAAATATGTTTTAGATTTTATTATCTCAATGGTAACTTTCTTCTTTTATTTGTAGTTTATAAATATTAAAACCACAAAATGAAAGTTTGTTTTTATGAAAACCAAACTATTTTAGAAATATTTAAAAAGGTAATTTTATTTTCTGGCTGAAAATACAAAAATAGGAAAAAGCTTTATTTTCTTATCATTTTATTCTGAAAAGTATGCTAAGAAGTTTCTATGAGGTTATATCTATTAATATTTTGTCAATATAATTACTTTACTTTTTCTTTCGAAGTATTGAAAGCACCATTGAAATTGTCCAAGACCAGATTTGTATTTCATGTCCCTTTATATGAAATGCAAGATAATTGTATGGTCAGAAGAACTGAGGTATGTATAGAAAACTGATAGAATTTAAAATTCCTTTTGAATTATGGTTTTTAGTTCAGTAAATTGATTGTTTTGAAACATGAATGATTTGAACTATATAACTAGTTACTCCAAATATTTACAACATTTGGAGCAAGAAGAGTATTGTCAATTTTAGAGAACTTTATTGTGTGTCTATGTGTGTGTATGTATAAGTATATATTACTTATGTATAAATATAATTTATATATATTTACTTATAAATATATTTATACTTAAGTATAATTTTACATATTACTTATGTAAAATTTTTCAGTTTTTGAAGTCCACTAATACATAAGGCTATTTTATGTATGCACATATGCAGATATATAAGAATATTCAAATAGTGTAATATAATTAACCTGTCTTTATACAAGTGAATGCTAAGATTTAAATTACTGTTTTTTGAAGGCGGGCTAATGGACATGAAGAGTCTCCAATTTATAGCACAGCTGCGCAGCATCTCTTGGGAATATCTCCAAGCTCTCCTGCTCCTGTGCTGCCACCCCTCCTGTCTAACTACCCTAGGTATGAGTGGATGAATTAGTAGGGCCTATTGAGTCCTCCACACTGATGCCCAGGTCAGCACTTTTCGTGGTATATTCCCTTCCCTGCATCCCTCCACGCTTCCTTTCTGTGGATCTTGAAGGGAGTTCCTCCCCCTCTTCTCTGAACCATGTCTAAGGCTACATGGAGATCTCCTCATCCTCACGTTTCCTTCCTATGCATCTGCAGGAATGGGAACATTTCCTGAAGGCCAGAAAAATTGCATGGGTCATCCCAGCTAGCGCAAGAAACTGCATTCATGCTATTGAATGAGCGTTCCACATCAGCTTTGGAGCACATCGTTGCATTAGCATGGAATATCGGCCCGATTTCCCATGACAAATTTCACAGGGAATGAGAAGATTCCGCCTTCCTTCTCTGTGCAACTTCTCCTCTGTCCCTATCCTTCTGTTTTTCATACATGCAATGAAGAGGATCTAGTCTCCTTCCGTTTGCCCTCCCACAGCTGCTGTTCCTTCCTCCTGCTTTCATTCCTCCCCTTCTTGTTCCACCAAATGAGGAGGACCCCACCTTCTGCATCCTCCCAACCCGTCATGCTGCTCCGCTCCTTCTTCCTCCCGTCCTCCAGAGAGGACACAGACACAATTTCATAGCTCCACAAGTGGTGGACTTTATTGACTCGAGCACTGCAATATGCTGGAGTAAAATTGGGTGGACTACCTTGACAGCGGTTCAGAGACGGTGCCCACGAGTCCCGTAATCTCCACGTTTGTGGCCTGTACACCCGGCGTGTAGACGCATTTCTCCGTCCTGGGTGGGATGTCTTCCACCGCTGCCTGTTGGTGGTGTTTCCCTTCTTTCGACCCTTGGCAGGACGTTTTCCGGGCATCTTTGGCTCAGCTGGTCTTGCACAGGCTCTGGCGCACCCCGGGCCTATCTCCGTGGAGGTGCTGTAGGGAGCGCTGCTGGCTGGAGGCCTATGCACCTTTGTGTTTCTTGAGTTGACTTTGGCCATCTGTAGCACTGGGGAACCTGATTGCTTCCTGGCTCGCTGATGGAATCTCCCGGGTCTGACTGCTCTCTTGCTCACCTAGAGTGATAGAAGGAGAACACTGTTCAGAGGAGAGGAGTGAGAGGACCGATGGGAAGAGCCGTGAAGGGAGAGGCTAGAGTGGAAACGTTGGGGATGCATCCTGGGAGGGTGGTCCAGGAGCTCGCGGGAGGGGCTCTGTGCTGTACAACCTTGTTATTCAGCTTTCCAGGTGAACTTGCTCTCGTTGTCTTTCTCCCTTGGGGTCTTTTGAGCCGACCTGTTGGATATGTGGAAATCCTCCTCGGTGGGCTTCTGCCACTGAGCTGGGCCAGGTCACCCCGAATCACTGTGATGCAGTTTTCCCTGATTTGGCCACGCCCTTGGGCATTGTTTGCTCAGCAAGGCCACAGCACTGGTACCAACTGGGGTGGGCTGTGGCAGCATCCAATATTTGGAGGGGGTGCACATGGATATGATGAGGCTAATGTTCATGGCAGAGATGCACAGCATCACTTTTGAATATCTGAGAGCTCTCCTGCCGCTCTGCTGCCCCCCATTCTGTGTATGTATCCTAGACAGAGGTGGATCGTGGAGTGGGGCCCTTTGATTCCTCCACACTGATGCCTTGGACACCCCTTTTAATGGTACATTCTGTTCTTGACATCCCTCCCGAGATCCTTACTGTGGGTCTTTCCTGGACTTCCTCCTCTTATCTGAACCAGGTCTCAGCCTATGTGGAGACCTCCTCATCCTCACGTCTCCCTCCTAGGAACCTGCAGGAACGGGAACATTTTCCCAAGGCCAGACAACATGCATGAGTCATACCAGGTATCTCAACAGACTGAATTCATTCTACTGAGTGACTATGACACATCACCTTGAGAAGGCATAGTTGTATTCACATGTAATTTCTGCCTGAATTCACAGGTCTATTTAAAACCGATGGAAAAGATCCCACCTTCCTTCCCTGTGCCACTCCTCCCCTGTACCTATGCTTCCCTTTTTCATACTTGTGGTGAGGGGGATCTGGTCTTCTTCCCTTTGGCTCCCCGCAGCTGCTGTGCCCGGATTCCCTCTCTTCTTTCCTCCCTCCCTTCCTTCCTCCCCTTCTTGTAGCACGAAATGAGGAGCATCCCACCTTCTGCCTTCCCTCACCCCGGCGTCATGCTTTCCCCTTCGTTCTTGCTTCCTCCCTTCCCCTGGAGAGGACACAGACACGTTTTTCTGAGGTGAAGTTACAGCGTTTTTTGACTCCACCACTGGCATATGCTGGAGCACACTTTTGCGGCCCACCTCTACAGCGGTTCGACGACGCTGCCCAAGAGTCACACAATCTCCATGTTTGCACGCTCTCTTTGCCCGGTAGTCGTGGTCATCTGGTCTGCAGACGCACTTCTGTGTCCTTGATGGGACCTGTCTCACTGGTTCTTGTTGTGTTTCCCTACTTGTTGACCTGGGCAGGATCTCTCCACAGCATCTTCCACGTGGCTGGTATGCACCATGATCTACTGGATCTCGGGGACATCCTGGTGGAGGCACTCCAGGGAATTCTGCTTCTGGACCTTTTGTTTTTCTTGAGTTGACCTTTGCCAGTTGCAGCCCCGGGGAGGGGGGACCTGATTGCTTCGTGGCCTGCTGTTGGCATATCTTGCGGCTGATTGCTGTCTTGCTCACCTAAAGGGATTCAGGGAGAGCACTCTTTAGGGGAACGGAGGGAGAGGACCAATGGGAACAGTCCTTAAGGGAGGGGATCCAATGGGAGCGTAGGGGATGCATCTTGGGAGGGTTGTCCAGTAGCCCACAGAGTTGCGTCAGTGCTCTCTAATCTTGTTCTTGGGCTTGGGAAGTTACACTGCTCTGCATGTGTGTCTCACTAGGGGCCTTGTGAGCTGACCTGTTGGATAGCTGGCCATGGTCTGAGGTAAGCTGCTGCCAGTGGGCCAGCCCAGGTCCCACTGGATCCCTGTTATGTGCCTGTCTGTGGAACGGCCAGGCTCTGGGGCTGTCTTTGTTGAGCAAGGCCACACCCACTGTGACTAACTGGCATGGGCTAATGCCACATTCAATGTTTGTTGAAGTGGGCAAATGGATGTGACGAGTCTCCAATGTATAGCAGAGCTGCGCAGCATCTCTTGGGAATATATCCGAGCTGTGCTGGTCCTGTCCTGCCACCCGTCCTGTCTAACTACCCTAGATATACGTGCATGAATTAGTAGGGCCAGTTGAGTCCTCCACACTGATGCACCCTTGCATGGAAGTATTACAGGTACCGCAGTGAGTATAAGAGCGTGTGTAAATTGCCTCAGTTTTCCTATGAAACCAAGCAGACTGGCACAGTGAGTTAAAAATCAAATCCAGTGATATGCTGTGTACAGGGAAACACATGTTACTCAAAAGGAAATCCATAGACTAAAAGTGAAAGGAACCCAGAAACGTCTTCACCTCTCAACGTCTGAAAATATGTCTGTATCCTCTCTGGTGGAGGCGAGGAAGCAAGAACGAAGGGCAGAGCATGAAGGAGAAGGCTGAAGGGGGAATGCTCCTCATTTCGTGCTACAAGAAGGGGAAGAAGGAAGATGGGTATACTTTCATTGACCACCTCCCTCGACTCCAGGCACTTTGGCTGTATTTTTTCACCAAGCAATGCCCACATCATTTTTGAGTATCTGAGAGCTCTCCTGGTGGTATGCTGCCCCCCATTCTGTGTATGTATCCTTGACAGTGGTGGGTCACGTAATGGGGCCCGTTGATTCTTCCACACTGATGCCCTGGTTACCCCTTTTAATGGTATGTTCTCTTCTTTGCATACAAAACTGATGTACCCTGTCAAACTATCTCTCAAATTCAATGGAGAAATAAAATATGCATGTATGTTTTCAAAGTATCATTTCCTTTGGATATACACAAAAAGAGAATTGCTGATCTAGTGATGGTTTTATATTTAATTTTGAGGGAACTTTCATGATGTTTGTATAATAACTTACAAATTTTCATTCCCACAAAGAGTGTAGTTATCCCTTGACTATTTAATAATAGTCATCCTAACCAGTATGAGATAGTATCTCACTTTAGCTTTCATTTACATTTTTTTCTGGTGAGTAGTCAGGTTGAGAACATTTAATACCTGTGGGCCATTTTTCTGTGATTTGGGGGTAAACTTTCTCTTCTTCAGGTCCACTGCCTGTTTTTTAATCAAGGTTGTTTGTGTGTGTGTGCTTCTATTGAGTGTGTTCCTGACTTTTACATTTTTGATATGAACCCCTTATGAGGTGTACCATTTGCAAGTATTTTATTTCAATCGTAGGTTGCCTTATTGATTTCCTGATTGTTTTCTTGTTATGTACAAGCTTTTTAGTTTGATGTAGTCTTTTTTTGGTATTTATTTGTGTTTATTTTGGTGTCTTATCCAAAAATCATTGCCATGATCAACATCAAGAACATTTTTTTCTACATTTTCCTTTGGGATTTTTAAGGGCTCTGACCCTATGTTAACATCTTTAACCCACTAAAAGTAGTATCTTGTACTCAGTATAAGAAAGAGGTCCAATTTAATACTTTTGTTTGTGGATATCCAGTTATTCACACTAGTGGTTTTTTTGCTGTTGTTGTTGAACTGGGATTTGAACTCAGGACCTTGAATTTGCCAGGCAAGTGTTGCTCTGCTGAGCTATATCCCTGGACCCTTTAACACTATTCTTAAAGAGAGTTTCCTTTTCCCCATTGTGTATTCTTGGTACACTTGTCAAGGATTAGTTGACTATAATTGTATGGGTTTACTTTTGTACCACTGGTTTAAGTACTGTTTTTACAATAAAAACATTATATTTTAACTATAATAATCTTCTAATGTAGTTTGAAATTGGGGAATGTGATTCCACAGAGTTTGTCCCTTGCAAATGTTGATATGCTGTTTGATGTCTTTTGTGTTTCCCTAGGAATGTTAAGATTTTTTTCTATTTCTTTGAACAATGCCATTGGAATTTTGGCAGAAATTGCAATGAGTCTGTAGAGCATTTTGAAGGGTGTAGATATTTATGATGTTAATGCCACTCTCTGCAGCTGAATTTATCCTCAGGAACTAACCTGTAACTTTCTGTGTTGAGCTCTATTCTCCAACACAAACTGCCTTTCTTCATATTAAACTGCTACTAGGGAATTTTTTCTTTTCTAAACAGATGAAATTTGTCAGTCACCCCTGACAGCCTTTCCTGTTCTTAAAATTCTGTGAAAAGTCACTCATTTCATATCAGCACATCTCTTTTTCAGTAGAATTCTTATGGCAATTGTATGATCTCGTCTTCATGTTGTGCCTACCAAATGGATGGGCAAATTTATTAAAGCATATGAAACAGTTTCTTTTAAAAAAATCCTTTTGTACTATTTCATATATATAATTTTTTTCCATTTAGTGAAAATTCACTGAAAGGAGATGTGCTCTATTTCCAGACAAGGTATAATTTAAAGTATTTTTCTTTCAATGCAACTTCACTAGCTTTAAATTATGCAGCAGAATAAAATCCAGATTCTGGGTAATCTATTCCGCTTTATTTAAGTGCAATATCATAGCATATTTAAATTGTTTAATAAAGTTAATCTGTATAAGTGTATGTGTATTTAAACTAATACAGAATGCTTTAAAATATTTCCACTAGGAAAGTGTACAAAATACGCAGTTGATGTTCCCATGTATTTAAGGAATAATTGTTTGTTTTAGAATTTTACGTCTCGTTAGAGAGGTAAAATCACCAAAGATATTACTTGACCACTGTTTATACTTTTCATACCTGTTCCTTTGGATGTAACAACTGGAATGGATGTCAAAATTGTACCCAAAAATTATTTCACGTAAATATTTAATGTGAATTTGCCACACCTTTTTTTTGTTTGTTTGTTTCTTTGAGACAGGGTCTCGCTATGCGGTTCAGGCTGGCCTTGAGCCTACTTTGTAGCCCAGGCTGGTCTCGAACTCACAACGATCCTCCTGCCTCAGCCTCCCAAGTGCTGGGATTACAGGCGTGTGCCACCATGCCCGGCTTCGCCACATCTTCTTTATGTGCTATTTTGTTTGTGTCTGTGTTCTATGAAAGTTATATGTAATGGCTGGCTTGTTTCTATCCTTGTAAAGACTGCTAAAGTATTTAATTATACATTGAAATTTTAAAGATATAAAAAGCTTTTATCTATAGTTGTCATATTTTTATTATTTTTATTTTGAAAAGAAAACCCTAAAAATAAAAATAATAATAAAACAGTTTCAAAACAGGATAGTAAGAGCGTTACAATAATTAATACATTGGGTGTCGTTGTCTTTGTAGTAGTTATTCGGAGTACAAGATACAGGCATGATGACTTGCCCAAACAATATTAGCACAAACATTGGTGTGTCTCTCTGTGGAATAAGAAACAAGCTTAAGTTTCAGTGTATTAGTTTTCAATTGTCGTACGACAAGTTATCACAGATTTATTGCCTTAAAATATACATTTGATAACTCAAACAGTGTGAATGTATTATCTTGGCGTTTCAACCAGTGCAGCTTCCCAGTTATCTTAGCTTCACCTTCTGCTCAGTGTCTGAACAGACAGAAATCCAAGGGTTGGCTGCAGCAGCAGTCTCGTCTGAATCTCAGTCCTCCTCCAAGATCCTGAGTTGTTGAGATAATTAATTTCTTTGTCTTTATATGTCTGAGTCATCACTTTTGGCTGGAGACAATCTCAGGTTACCCTGAAATCCTACTCATGTGGTTATATCCTCACAACATAGTATCTTATATCATTCAAGGCCCAAAGTATATCATCTACCAGTCTTGTCTGCCTCTGACATTCAAGCCGCCTTCTAAAACGTCACCTAAGTCAAACACACCCATGATGGTCTCCCTTTTGCTATAGTCAAAGTAAGTTTTATTAGGAAACTTAATTACATCTAGAAAGTACCTTTTCCATTGCCATATAAATAAGCTTAACTACAAAAGTGATACTACAGCATATAAAAAAGTCCCAATCTTATTCAGTCCGTTCTTAACTCTCCAGATATATATAATACGTAAAGTCCCACTATGGAAGAAAGCATAACTAAGAGTCAGGACGAACAGCTACCATGAAATTTCGACTCTTACAAATTCAGATATTATTAATATATGACAGAGTGTAAATAAATTTATTTTTTCATTAAAAGAGAAAAATACAAAAATTGCTAACTAATGTGGAGTTATGAGATAATATACTTGAAAAACAATCAACTTAAAAATAATATAACTTTTAGAAAATTCAATAGAGCGCATACAGTAAAATTTTATAGGCATCCACTAACACTAACATTATACCAAACTACCCAAACATACAGAAACAAACAAACCTCAAGTAACCTTAAAACCATTTTCAACAAATATATTTGAGTCATTTCATTGAAACTTCAATAAGTTTCAAATAAACTTTTTCATTTAAATTGACAGGTAACATACTCAATTTTATTTGGAAGAGTTAAGAGTTTTGAATAGTGACACTATGTTCTAGGATGAAAAATAAACCTTACCAAATAGCAGGATTAAGCCGATGTGGTGGTAGCGCAAAGACAGATGAAATGAGCAAAGGACTAGAATAAGCTCTTGAAAAAGGACCATACATGACTGAATATTAGATCTACAATCAAGGTGGTACTACATATTTTTAGGAAAAAAAAATAGGTTCCTGTTCAGTAAACAATGTAGGTCAATGCAATATTTGAATGGAATACAGTATTTGAAGCTGAGTAACTATTTTATACAGTCCATTACAACTAAAAATACTTTATATGAAATCCATTACAAGTGAAATGAAGGCTTAAATATATATACAAGGCAAAATGTAAAAATGAAATATAAAATATATTTCAAATTTCAATGGGTAGAAAAGGATTTCTTGGAACATAAAATCATGGTCACAATAAAATGAATGACTAACAAATATAAATGACATTAAAAATCAGTCACAAAACTAAGCAACTCAATGGGAATATTAATAAAAATCAACAATAGGTGTTTCATCAAAGAAGATTCATAAATGGAAAATAAATAGTAAAACATGTAACTGAAATAGATAGACATGGTGACACATACCTGTAATCGCACCACTGGGGAAGCTGAGGCAGGTACATCCCCGTGAGTTCCAGACCAGCCAGGGCCACATAGTTAATTCTTGTCTCCAAGAATATATATAGAATTGACTTTCTGTAAGTTTTGAAATAATACAGAATTTTGCCAATCTTAGGTAGGAAAAACTGAAAAACCTGGTAAATTCGTTGCAGCGTCAATGAGTATGGTCACAGCAGATGGTACTTTGCAAAGTGTGACGTTTGCTTCTCTCATAGCCCAAGAATTCATAATATACTGGGAAAGAATTCTTCTTGTCTCTTCCTCAAGCTATTTTATGATTATTCATTGTAGTATTTTTCATAATAGCAACATCTGGAAGCCGCACAAAATTCCTGTAACAGGTGAATGGATAATCTGATATATATGAATACATATAGATCCCTTTTTATTTTATTTTAAAGAGAGAAAAAACAACAGAATTTCAAAACAAGATGGTAGGAAATTAACAGTGGTTATGATGTTGCATATTGTTATCTTCAAAGTAGTTGCTCAGATTACCAGATACAGGCATGTAAAATTGATCAAAATGAAGTAGATTAATTTTAACTGTTAGCAACCTTAGAAACAAAATATTGCAATGTATGAGGTCAAAAATGCTGACATGTACTGATTATCCCTTATATCAAACAAAAACACAAAGCTTAAGCATTTTTATTGAGACATATACAACTATCTATACATAGAAAGAAAAAATATAGAGTAGCTAGCTGGACTGTTAAAATTATATAGACTGTGAGGATTTGTATATTGATGTTATTTGCCTAAAGCATTAATTTTGTAGAATGTTAGATCGTATACTCACTTCAAAACTTGTTTAGTTTAATTTTCATTTTACAGTTAAGACTGTGAGAGCCAGACAGCAAGTCCTGAGGGTGACGTAATGGTCAGAGATAAATTAAATTGTACAGGTTGAAGAGCATAGCACAACTTTCACTTTCTAACATTTGGCACATAATGTATGATGGGGACTGCTTATGCCATGGGCTTGCTTGAACTGCAGTTCAGTTTGTGAGGGAGTATAATTCTTCAACATTAATATAACTTCCAGATTTGTATGCTTTCAAAACCTCAATTTATAAGCAGACAATAACCAGTGTTACTTAGAAAATAACAGTGGCTTGAATTATATTGTGTGAGAAAGTATGATTTAAATTAAGAAGTATTGTCCAATATGTGAATCGTTCAACATTTTAGTAAGCGGAGAAACGTACTTCTTTAAAGACTATTTGAACTAAAAAATCTGCTTTGACTAATGTGATGTGATAAAATGAAGTTGTGAAAGGAGTTGAATAGATTATGTAGCTCAGCCGTGTATATCTATATGTCATTAATAACTTATCCAGTGACACTTACATGAGTAACAATTGGATTGCAACCAAACCGGATGTGTAAATGGCTTTTCCATGTGGATTACAGTGTACTACATAGGTTTAAGTAATCCCAATGTACATCTTCCTTTTTTTCATTAATTAGCTCAATACTGTTCATTCTTACTAAAATAGTAGATGAGTATGATTTGTGTTTGATAATATTTTTATCTTTATAGGTTCCTACACATATAATGAAATGATATGGTCCAATATTTATTGATCACTAGAATTATAAGCAATAATTTGATTAAAATAATTATTACATTGTAATATGTAGTATAAAAATCAGAAATATTTTAGAGTGACAATTCTAGATATATAGTGAAATATGTGAACATTAAGTGGATTTTGATGAGTAATGATTAAAAATTATGTGAGTAATGATTAAATATAATGATTGAAAATAATAGTGCTAAAATACTCCTAAAACTTCAGTAGTATATGAATTTAAGAATTTGAGTGTGTACTATTTATACATCTATTGATATTAACTATATACACTAAATGTGTAATAATTAAAGTGATAATCTGTGGTAAATTCCTGTCAGAATATACTTAACATTAATATTTATGTCATTATTAAAACACATTGTATTTAATCAAATACTTTATCTCTGCTTTAATCGTTATAGAACAAAATAAACATTGAATCACCTCAGGTGGTTCTGGTGTAAAGTAATATATTATCAATGTTACACTTTTAAGAGAAAATAAAGTGACACAAAGATATGTTTGATAACAGCATATTATTGGAAATATTTATATTTAGTCTTTCAAATGATTTAGAAAGAAAAAAAAGTATACATTTAAATGCAACGTATTTCAAGCTAAAACGTGTTTTTCATTTTAAACAGAAATTCTACTCTAAGCTACCAGATTCCCACAGCAAAGGTTCTCAGTGATGTTGAAGAAATTCAGCCACTTTCCGTGAACTTCTCAAAAGGCCAAATCATCGTAGGCTCTGATCGTGGAAATAATAACAAACTCACTTTCCACCTCAGTTTCAAATCATCTAAACCTGTGTCATTTTTCAGCAATCTTCATTTCTCTGACGACAGTGGTAACAGGTAAGATATTTAAATGTAGATTCTTTTGTACTTGACAGTGAAGAGTGATCGGTTTACATTCCACAACATTGTAAAATGTTAAAAGGAGGGATATCAAATCAAATTACTTTGGATCAGTTGTCCTAAAAAGCAGCATATAGTGAACTGGTATTTACTCTACAATTAGGCTGCTTACCATCAAATCCTAGCCTTGTTAACACTACTCCTGAGCCTCTGCATTGTCTGATCTGAAAACGGTATGGTGATACGGACAAGACTATTACAAGCAGTAAAACAGTATGAGGTATGTAGATGGAAGCAGCCGCCTGGTTTGATAGTGTTTTGGGTGCTTTGGTTTAATGGATTCTGAAGAGACATAGCTGGGAAATGAAGCTGAATTGCAACAGCAGAATCATGGAGATTTTTAATATTAGTATACATTTTTTGAGAATCCTACTATCATATCATAGACTTTCCAAAAAATAAGAAAAAATGTTCTGTTTTATTTCCTTCCCGCTTTGCATGTGTTTCTTGCTCTCTCTTGTCAGTCTTTCAAAAATACTCTAGGGTATATTCATTACTGATAAAAGTATACCTTTTTGTTAAGTCAATAACAGTTTTAGGTGAAATTTTGTATCTTTATAAAATATGTCAGTGCTATTAGAAGTGGTTTTTGAACAATCAGAGAGTGAATGCAGCAATAAAATATAATTTCTCTCTTTGCTGTTTTGTGAATTAGCCTCTTCTAGGTTTTTTATATCCTTATATATTCAAGTTTTTTTCTTCTTGACTTTCCTTTCCTTTTAAAATATGAAATCACACTGTAGGAGAGAGGAGATAGGGCGATAACAAGGAATATACATGACTGTTAATTATCTGAGTAAAATGGTTTGAACATCTTAGAATATTATTTTCCATATTCTTTTAATTAGAAACATTTTGAGCTAGAGATTTTCCATTGGCTATCCTCTAAAAGTAGGACATGTCTTGCAAAATAACCACCTGAATAGGATAGCAGGAATGCCCAAGGATAGACCAGACGTTTAAGGTGCCACTTAAAGAAATATTTTGCACTGAAGTGGAGGATTTTAACTGCTGATAAGGTTAGTGAATACGGTAATATCTTCAGGTTGTCCACAGATTTTTCCTAAAACGAAGTCATCAACATAAAATAACTAAGGAGACAGTATAGTTTTGGAAATTATGATATGCCTGTAACTGCACCTACTTTGTAAAAGTAATAAACATTTAAATTGGAGCGGGATAATAAGACTGCTAATGTTTAATTTAGCACAGGTTAAAGTCGAAGTTCACCTTGAATCTTTAATGTCTACCAAGTGACAGACAGCGTTCTAAGCACTGCAGATTACATGACAAATCGAACCATGACTCTTGCCATGGAACTTAGACGATGAGGGAAACAGACAATAAAAATGATAAGAAGAGACTTTTGGGAAAAGGGGAGAGTGGTAAACAACAACAACAGAGCCTCTCTGAGATTTGGGATCCAGACACTGAAAGATAACAAGCTGTAGAAGCAAGAAAAAGAGAGTAGTTCCCCAGGAACTAGAAATTAATAACAGCAAAGTTAAAACTGACAGAGACAAAGTGAAACCTGGGGACCTCAGGGTCAGGTGGTTTCAGGGAGATACGCAGTACAGGAAGGATGAGCAAGTGTTGTGAGCTGCAGGCACAGTGCAGGATTCTGCTCATGCGTGAGTGCTTCAACAAACAACAGCTGGTCAGTTATTCTAGTGCAAGCACCTGCCATATTCCTGGAGAGAGTGCTTGGTTGGAGAACTTTCAGGGGAGGGTTGGTTGTTTGAACCTGGGGCACAGGGCAGAGGCAGGGCTCCCAGTGTTATGTTCCCAAGGTGACTGGTTAAGAGACAGCCACTACACACTGATCAGGGAGCTGAAGTCAGGCTGGAAAGAGACCTGAGAGATTGAGCTAATGGATCCCAGATGCAAGCACTGTGAGCAGAGGGTAGGCTTAGCCTGAGTTGCTCTAGGTTTGAAAGTCGTGGTATTGGCACCCTTGCCTTAATCATACCGCCTGCTAACGCCTGCGTTCACCTAGCATCTGGCTCTGACTGCTTTCCTTATTCACCAGCACAGGTAGGGACACATCCTGACCTGGACACTGCCTCCCAATTGTAGATCCTAGAAGAAAACCACACATTGAGAATCACAGAGAATTTTGTTTTGTTTTTGTTTTTATTTTGGGTTTTCTGTTTTTTTGGGGGGGATGGTTCCTTTCTGTTTGTTTTTTATTTTTGTTAGTGTGTGGGCTATTTTCAGTGTAGCTTTTTTTTTCTTGTGTCTTATTGCTTTCCTTCTCTTTTTTTTTCACTACTTTATTGGCGATTGCAGAATGTTTATTTGTACTGTTTTTCTCCTTGTCTTACTGCTTTTTTATTTTTGCCTCTTTTCTCTTTTAATTTTTCTCCATTTTTTCTTATATTTACTCCTGATGTAATTTTTTTGGTTTTGTTTTGTTTTGTTTTTGGTACCAGGAATCAAACTCAGGACCTTGTGCTTACCAGGCAGGCATTGTGCTGCTGAGCTATATCCCTGACCCTTTATATAATTTTTATCTTTTTCTTTTATCTCGTATTTCTTTTCAGTTTTTTCTCTCATCCTTACGTATTTCTATAAAGATTCTTGTACTCCCCAGCAAGCTTCCTTATCTTCCTTATCTTTCTTCTCATAGCACATAGTTAAAAGTTTCAAATTTTCCCTCTTGCATTCTCTCCTCCTAAAACACTATATAATAATAACCAGGAAGATTTATTAGTATTTTCACGATTGACTGTATATAACTACCCTTGAATCTTTTTCTACTGTTAGCAGAGATATAGCGATTGCATTCAGTATGTGTTAGTTTTAAGTCAATGCCTAGATTACCTTAATGTTTACACTACAATTGTGGATTTCTTCTCTAGGGTTGGGAGTTGCATATAATTAGTTCTTATGGTATGTTAATGTCCAATTTGGCTTGGATAATACTACTGTAACTGATTTGCTTGGTATTACCAGCATCTCTTACAATGTTTCCTCAGTTATTTAATGGCTCCAAGCTCAAACTGTCCACTACTCAAACAGCAAAGTTTGAAAAATGTTCTGCTTGGTGTTTGTAACTTTGCTCCGTAGTTGAATCAACAAGTCCTGTACTGGTCAAGAGTAACTTACTTGTCATGTCTCACTGTGGAAACAAAAGGGGCTATGCTTCATTCTAAATGCCACTCTCCCCAAGATAACATATGCAGCTGTTTTGGACTTTATTTGCATAAAACAGTGTAACTATGGCTCCAAAGAAAGTTAGTGATACTAGCAGTAAAGCTAAGAGGAAAACTGTCAGAACCACAATAGTGTTAAAGAGAGGAATAATTGCAAAATTTCTTAAAGTCTTAGAAAAAATGAATTTATAAGTGTTATTTTTGGTCCTCAGAAGCAATTACTTGGTTTTCCATTATTTCTTATGAGAAAATATGTTCAGTTCTCAAACTGTTTGGTTTTTGAATATGAATTTGGAATGAATTAAGTTCCAGAACAGAGATCTCACTGTAATTGTTGCTCTTTCTCTGTAAGCCAGCACTCAGATTACATTTGTGACATTGACACTACCAGACTATATTCACAGAGAAACTGGCTGTTGTCGTAATTACACTGTATCCTCCCCTTTCAAATTATAAAAAGATGGTCAGATCTTGGGATTGAGGCAAAAGGCTGTAGTTAGCCATGCACAAAGTATAGCACTGAAAAGTGACTAAAGAAATCTCTTTACCAGCAAAAAAAGTTTTTACACTATAAGCATCCACAAACGTCAGTACAAAACAAAAAGAACAACAAAAAACCCAGCAGAAACATGGAAAGATAAGGTTAAAAAAAATGTCTCCCCAAACTCCCAGCTTCACTAAAGCTAGTCCAGTGGGCAAGAAGGGGCAAAATACCAAAAGCGATATGCACAAATTTTCTGAGAAGCTAACCAACGCAATTAGAACATAGATCAAGGGGGTACTCAGTGGAATCACAGAAGATATAACTACACAGATAATTGCAGAAATAACCAAAATGATGTAGTGTAACAGCAAGCAGAAATATGAAAGGGACACCCAGGAATTGGGGGCAGGTTGATCTTGCATCAACAGGCACTGATCAGGATCATCCCCAAAATATCAAGCTGTAATCCTTGATAGTTTGGGGCTTATGTGGGATAAACAAGCGGGAAGTACAGAAGCAAAGTATTTGGTGCTTATTGATTGGTTCTTTTAATATGCATCCTAGTGACCAGCTATGCTTCACAGTGACCAGCCATTTTAAAGAGACATAAGTAACAGAAATTGTTACCTGGGCAGCTAACAGACTGACTAGGGGGAGGTATTTTCTGCTACATTTCCCCCTTGTTTTAGTTTCCTGGCAAATCTTTGCTGGGATCTTTTGAGATGAACAGGGTAAGGCAATCAATTATATAATGCCCAACTATAAACAGCAACAGTAGGGCTCTCAGTGGTCCTAAGATGGGCCCTAGCTAAGGTCCCAAAGAATGAAAGTTTTCCCACCGGGATTTGTAATTTGTTTCCCTTATCGTAGAGTTTCTCCCTATGTTGCTTTCAGGAAAAGACCTATTTCTCCTTTAGTGGCTGTGATTTACTATTACTCTGGCAAGGTAGTAAGGGAATTAATCTGATCTAGAAGAGTGTCCATGTACCTTGGACACTCATCAAATCTTGGTCAGGTGTTCAACTGATTGTTCTATTACCTTAGGGCAACTGTTCCTAGTGTTTAAGGCAAAAACCACAGCTAGCAGGGTGGCGAGGAAGCAAGGACTGTGGTAAGCAGCCCGAAAAGACACAAAAATCAAGGGGAATAGGTATGGAGTGATCCTGTGAACGGTGTCCTCAGGCTTTAGCTGTGCACAGACTGGACAGCATCCAGAGTGACCAGAGCAGGGCTTTGAGTACACTGTCTCTTCAGAGTGAGCCCCGGAGGAGCTGTCCAGGAAAACTCTCGAGGAATTG